ATAGAACATTAGTAGTGTACTACACCTGTGGTGTATTACACTTGTAGTATAGAACATTAGTAGTGTACTACAGTGTATTACACTACACCTGTAGTGTATTACACTTGTAATATAGAACTTATTATGTACTACACCTGTGGTGTATTACACTTGTAGTATAGAACATTAGTAGTGTACTACACCTGTGGTGTATTACACTTGTAGTATAGAACATTAGTAGTGTACTACACCTGTGGTGTATTACACTTGTAGTATAGAACATTAGTAGTGTACTACACCTGTGGTGTATTACACTTGTAGTATAGAACATTAGTAGTGTACTACACCTGTGGTGTATTACACTTGTAGTATAGAACATTAGTAGTGTACTACACCTGTGGTGTATTACACTTGTAGTATAGAACATTAGTAGTGTACTACACCTGTGGTGTATTACACTTGTAGTATAGAACATTAGTAGTGTACTACACCTGTGGTGTATTACACTTGTAGTATAGAACATTAGTAGTGTACTACACCTGTGGTGTATTACACTTGTAGTATAGAACATTAGTAATGTACTACACCTGTGGTGTATTACACTTGTAGTATAGAACATTAGTAGTGTACTACACATGTGGTGTATTACACTTGTAGTATAGAACATTAGTAGTGTACTACACCTGTGGTGTATTACACTTGTGGTATAGAACATTAGTAGTGTACTACACCTGTGGTGTATTACACTTGTGGTATAGTACATTAGTAGTGTACTACACCTGTGGTGTATTACACTTGTGGTATAGAACATTAGTAGTGTACTACACCTGTGGTGTAATACACTTGTAGTATAGAACATTAGTAATGTACTACACCTGTGGTGTATTACACTTGTGGTATAGTACATTAGTAGTGTACTACACCTGTGGTGTATTACACCTGTAGTATAGAACATTAGTAGTGTACTACACCTGTGGTGTATTACACTTGTAGTATAGAACATTAGTAGTGTACTACACCTGTGGTGTATTACACTTGTAGTATAGAACATTAGTAGTGTACTACACATGTGGTGTATTAAACTTGTGGTATAGAACATTAGTAGTGTACTACACCTATGGTGTATTACACTTGTAGTATAGAACATTAGTAGTGTACTACACCTGTGGTGTATTACACTTGTAGTATAGAACATTAGTAGTGTACTACACCTGTGGTGTATTACACTTGTGGTATAGAACATTAGTCGTGTACTACACCTGTGGTGTATTACACTTGTGGTATAGAACATTAGTAGTGTACTACACCTGTGGTGTATTACACTTGTGGTATAGAACATTAGTCGTGTACTACACCTGTGGTGTAATACACTTGTGGTATAGTACATTAGTAGTGTACTACACCTGTGGTGTAATACACTTGTGGTATAGTACATTAGTAGTGTGCTACACCTGTGGTGTATTACACTTGTAGTATAGAACATTAGTAGTGTACTACACCTGTGGTGTATTACACTTGTGGTATAGTACATTAGTAGTGTACTACACCTGTGGTGTATTACACTTGTAGTATAGAACAATAGTAGTGTACTACACCTGTGGTGTATTACACTTGTGGTATAGAACATTAGTAGTGTACTACACCTGTGGTGTATTACACTTGTGGTATAGAACATTAGTCGTGTACTACACCTGTGGTGTATTACACTTGTAGTATAGAACATTAGTAGTGTACTACACCTGTGGTGTATTACACTTGTGGTATAGTACATTAGTAGTGTACTACACCTGTGGTGTATTACACTTGTAGTATAGAACATTAGTAGTGTACTACACCTGTGGTGTATTACACTTGTGGTATAGAACATTAGTAGTGTACTACACCTGTGGTGTATTACACTTGTGGTATAGAACATTAGTAGTGTACTACACCTGTGGTGTATTACACTTGTAGTATAGAACATTAGTAGTGTACTACACCTGTGGTGTATTACACTTGTGGTATAGAACATTAGTAGTGTACTACACCTGTGGTGTATTACACTTGTAGTATAGAACATTAGTAGTGTACTACACATGTGGTGTATTACACTTGTAGTATAGAACATTAGTAGTGTACTACACCTGTGGTGTATTACACTCGTAGTATAGAACATTAGTAGTGTACTACACCTGTGGTGTATTACACTTGTAGTATAGAACATTAGTAGTGTACTACACCTGTGGTGTATTACACTTGTAGTATAGAACTTTAGTAGTGTACTACACCTGTGGTGTATTACACTTGTAGTATAGAACATTAGTAGTGTACTACACATGTGGTGTATTACACTTGTAGTATAGAACATTAGTAGTGTACTACACCTGTGGTGTATTACACTTGTAGTATAGAACATTAGTAGTGTACTACACCTGTGGTGTATTACACTTGTAGTATAGAACATTAGTAGTGTACTACACATGTGGTGTATTACACTTGTAGTATAGAACATTAGTAGTGTACTACACCTGGGTGTATTACACTTGTGTATAGAATATTAGTGTATACACCTTATTATTACACTTGTATATAAACATTAGTAATGTACTACACCTGTGGTGTATTACACTTGGTATAGAACATTAGTAATTATGCTACACCTGTGGTGTATTACTTGTGGTATAAACATTAGTAGTGTACTACACCTGTGTGTATTACACTTGTAGTATAGAACATTAGTAGTGTACTACACCTGTGTGTATACACCTGTAGTATAGAATATTAGTGTACTACACCTGTGGTGTATTACACTTGTGTATAGAACATTAGTAGTGTACTACACCTGTAGTATATACACTTGTAGTATAGAACATTAGTATTGACTACATGTGGTGTATTAAACTTGTAGTATAGAACATTAGTAGTGTACTACACTGTGGTATATTACTTGTAGTATAGAACATTAGTAGTGTACTACACATGTGGTGTATTAAACTGTGGTATAGAACATTAGTAGTGTACTACACCTGTGAGTGTATTACACTTGTAGTATAGAACATTAGTAGTGTACTACACCTGGCGTTAATATTACACTTGTAGTATAGAACATTAGTAGTGTACTACACCTGTGTGTATTACACTGGTATAGAACATTAGTAATGTACTACACCTGTAATTATATTACCTTGTAGTATAGAACATTAGTAGTGTACTACACCTGTGGTGTATTACACTTGTAGTATAGAACATTAGTGTGCTACACCTGTGTGTATTACACTTGTATAGAAACATTATTAGTATTACTACACCTGTGTGTATTACACTTGTAGTATAGAACATTAGTAATGTACTACACAATTGTATTACTTGTAGTATAGAACATTAGTAATGTACTACCCTGGTGTATTACACTTGGTATAGAACATTAGTAATGTACTACCTGTATTATACACTTAGTATAGAACATTATTACTACCTGTTGTATTACATGGTATAGAACATTAGTAATGTACTACACCTGTGGTGTATTACACTTGTAGTATAGAACATTAGTAGTGTACTACACCTGTGGTGTATTACACTTGTAGTATAGAACATTAGTAATGTACTACACCTGTGTATATTACACTTGTGGTATAGAACATTAATGTACTACACCTGTGGTGTATTACACTTGTAGTATAGAATATTAGTAATGTACTACACTGTAGTATATTACTTGTAGTATAGAACATTAGTAATGTACTACACCTGTGGTGTATTACACTTGTGTATAGAACATTAGTATTATACCTGTGTGTATTACACTTGTAGTATAGAACATTAGTAATGTACTACACCTGTGGTGTATTACACTTGTAGTATAGAACATTAGTAGTTAACCACCTGTGGTGTATTACACTTGTGGTATAGAACATTAGTAATGTACTACTGTGGTGTATTACACTTGTAGTATAGAACATTAGTAATTGTACTACACCTGTGGTGTATTACACTTGTAGTATAGAACATTAGTAGTGTACTACACCTGTGGTTATTACACTTGTGGTATAGAACATTAGTAGTGTACCTGTGTATTACTTGTAGTATAAATTAGTAATGCTACACCTGTTGTATTACACTTGTAGTATAGAACATTAGTAGTGTACTACACATGTGGTGTATTACACTTGTAGTATAGAACATTAGTAGTGTACTACTATGTGTATACCTTGTAGTATAGAACATTAGTAGTGTACTACACCTGTGGTGTATTACACTTGTGGTATAATTACATTAGTAGTGTACTACACCTGTGGTGTATTACACTTGTAGTATAGAACATTAGTAGTGTACTACACCTGTGGTGTAATACACTTGTAGTATAGAACATTAGTAATGTACTACACGTGGTTATTACACTTGTGGTATAGTACATTAGTATTGTACTACACCGTGGTGTATTACACTTGTAGTATAGAACATTAGTAGTGTATACACCTGTGGTGTATTACACTTGGTAAGTATATTACATTAGTGACTACTACACCTGGTGTATTACACGTAGTATAGAACATTAGTAGTGTACTACCCTGCGGTGTATTGCACTTGTAGTATAGAACATTAGTAGTGTACTACACCTGTGGTGTATTACACTTGTAGTATAGAACATTAGTAATGTACTACACCTGTGGTTTATTACTTGTGGTATAGAACATTAGTAGTGTACTACACCTGTAGTGTATTACACCTGTAGTATAGAACATTAGTGTGTACTACACCTGTGAGTGTATACACCTGTAGTATAGAACATTAGTAGTGTACTACCTGTGTATTACACTTGTAGTATAGAACATTAGTAGTGTACTACACCTGTGATGTACACTTGTAATTAGAATATTAGTAGTGTACTACACCTGTGTGTATTACACTTGTGGTATAAATGATAGTGTACACCTGTTTATTACACCTGTATATAACATTAGTAATGTACTACACCTGTTGTATATTACACTTGTAGTATAGAACATAGTAATTGTACTACACTGTTGTGTATTACACTTGTGGTATAGAACATTAGTAGTGTACTACACCTGTGGTGTATTACACTTGTAGTATAGAACATTAGTAGTTACTACACCTGTGGTGTATTACACTTGTGGTATAGAACATTAGTAGTGTACTACACCTGTGGTGTATTACATGGTATAGAACATTAGTAGTTACTACACCTGTGGTGTATTACACTTGTGGTATAGAACATTAGTAGTGTACTACACCTGTGGTGTATTACACTTGTGTTATAGAACATTAGTAGTGTACTACACATGTATTACACTTGTGGTATAGAACATTGGTAGTGTACTACACCTGTGGTGTATTACAATTAATGTATAGAACATTAATAGTGTACTACACAGGTCTTTTCTCGTAAGTGTTCAACAGTCCTCTATATTCATTTTTATGTATTTCCTAAACGTTATTTGTTGGACGTTATGATGCTCGACCCATCACTCACAACCCATGACCTATGAGGCACTATCTCTAACCCTTGGCCGTTGTCCCACGACCCATGATTCATAAAGCTTGATTTAAAACGAGAGACCTGTGACAGTCTGTTCCATCCCACAAGACTCAGTCTGTGGACTGTTACTATATACCTGTACAGAAGGTGGGGTGGTATACCTATGCCTCACCACCCAGGGCCCCTGAAGGACCATCTTTGACCCATGACAAACCCATGACTCATGAATTGTTATTCTTAATCCATGGCCTGCCACTCATGACATACGAACCTTGACCCATGACTCACGACTCATGACCTATGACCCTCTACATAGGCTTCCACCATTTCTGTTCTGAGTTGGTTCTCTCCCTCTTACCGTTCACACACACACACACACACACACACACACACACACACACACACACACACACACACACACACACACACACACACACACACACACACACACACACACACACACACACATATATATATATGTGTGTATTTATTATTATTTATTTTTTGGTATATTATCAGTGTTTATTTGTTTCTATTTCTCGGGATTAAAACTTCTCTCCTTAGAATATCATTTTTTGTTTATTTTCCCTACACCAGTGAAGGCCGCCATGATGGTGAGGCTGGGTTACTTGAGGCCGCCATTATGGTAAGGGCTGTTGAAATACTTGAGCCATTATGGTAAGGGCTGTTGAAATACTTGAGGGCCGCCATGATGGTGAGGGCTGGTGAACTTGAGGGCCGCCATTATGGTAAGGGCTGTTGAAATATGAGGCCGCCATTATGGTAAGGGCTGTTGAAATATGAGGGCCGCCATGATGGTGAGGGCTGGTGAGTTACTTGAGGGCCGCCATTATGGTAAGGGCTGTTGAAATACTTGGGGGCCGCCATTATGGTAAGGGCTGTTGAAATGAGGCCGCCATTATGGTAAGGGCTGTTGAAATACTTAGGGCCGCCATTATGGTAGGGCTGTTGAATCGAGGGCCCCATTATGGTAAGGGCTGTTGAAATGTAGGGGCCGCCATGATGGTAGGGCTGTTGAAATATAGGGCCGCCATGATGGTAAGGGCTGGTGAGTTACAGGGCCGCCATTATGGTAAGGGCTGTTGAAATACTTGAGGGCCGCCATTATGGTAGGGCTGTTGAAATACTTGAGGGCCGCCATTATGGTAAGGGCTGTTGAAATACTTGAGGCCGCCATGATGGTAAGGGCTGTTGAAATATAAGGGCCGCCATGATGGTAAGGGCTGGTGAGTTATGAGGGCCGCCATTATGGTAAGTGTTGAAATACTTGAGGGCCGCCATGATGGTAAGGGCTGGTGAGTTACTTGAGGGCCGCCATGATGGTTAGGGCTGGTGAGTTACTTGAGGGCCGCCATGATGGGGCTGGTGAGTTACTTGAGGGCCGCCATGATGGTAAGGGCTGGTGAGTTACTTGAGAGGGCCGCCATGATGGTGAGAGCTATTGAGTTACTTGAGGGCCGCCATTATGGTAAGGGCTGTTGAAATACCTGGAGGCCGCCATGATGGTTAGGGCTGGTGAGTTACTTGAGGGCCGCCATGATGGTAGGGCTGGTGAGTTACTTGAGGCCGCCATGATGGTGGGGGCTGTTGAGTTGCTTGGGGCCGCCATGATGGTAAGGGCTGTTGAGTTACGAGGGCCGCCATGATGGTGAGGGCTGGTGAGTTACGGGGCCGCCATGATGGTGAGGGCTGGTGAGTTGCGGGCCGCCATGATGGTGAGGCTGGTGAGTTACTTGAGGGCCGCCATTATGGTGAGGGCTGGTGAGTTACTTGAGGGCCGCCATGATGGTGAGAGCTATTGAGTTACAGGGGCCGCCATGATAGTGAGGTCTGTTGAGTTACTTGAGGGCCACCGTGATGGTGAGGGCTGTTGAGTTAGCGAGGGCCGCCATGATGGTGAGGGCTGTTGGGTTACTTGAGGGCCGCCATGATGGTGAGGGCTGTTGAGTTACTTGAGGGCCACCATGATGGTGAGGGCTGTTGAGTTACTTAGGGCCGCCATGATGGTGAGGGCTGTTGAGTTACTTGAGGGCCGCCATGATGGTGAGGGCTGTTGAGTTACTTGAGGGCCGCCATAATGGTGAGGGCTGGTGAGTTACTTGAGGGCCGCCATAATGGTGAGGGCTGTTGAGTTACGAGGGCCGCCATGATGGTGAGGTGGTGGTGAGTTACTTGAGGGCCGCCATAATGGTGAGGGCTGGTGAGTTACTTGAGGGCCGCCATAATGGTGAGGGCTGTTGAATTACTTGAGGGCTATCAGGATGGTGAGGGCTGTGGACACCAGAATGGTTGACACGTGGTGCGGGGAGTGACCTCCATGCTGCATCGCCTCTGGGTGTTCTCCTGAAACACAACATTCTCAGTTAGTTCAGTGGTCTCCCTGCTTCACTGGCTGACTGAGACGATCATACAACATGAAAATGAAGGGAACTACAGTAGGCCAATGGGCCTTAGAAAGCAGCCCTGTTTACACTGTCACGGCTACTACTGATTAATTTTCTTTCAGCAGAGCTTCAACTCCTAGGCCCATTAATTAGACTTGTATTCTGAAATAACAGCTTTTGTTAACAGACCAGAATCATGTAGACAATCCTTTGCTGCCTCTCACTGACTGTTATATATTTCGGAAGGTGAAAATGTGATGGAATTATTTTGTTCATACCTTCGTTAAATGTGTATTTTTCCGTGTAAATGTTGGAAAAACAAAACTTGAGTTTGCCCTCTGAGACTAGTGAAATCAATTCAGTAGCCACAATATAATGGTTATGTATGAAATAAGGTCAACGCAGTACTAGAGTTCATACTTAGGAGTATTAATAACAGGAGCAGTAGAGTATTTAACTACTTCATATCTAGCGTTAGTCAGATCTTATTTTGGTTTCATTTTGGTCTCCTTATACTGTACTGTAGAATGGATATACATTCTCTCGAAAACGCTCAGTGAAGAATGAAGAAGTTAATCCTGGTCACAGGCGAACCTTCTGTATACAGTTTAAGAATATTAAGAAAACAGAATAAATATTATCTTTAGATACCTAAAGTAAATGATTGACGTGTATAAATGGTAGATGGGGTTAAATAAGAGTGATATTATTAATGCACCTAAACCATCAAACCAGGAGCGAAAACATGAGTATGATTTACAGATAAAGAAATTTAGATTTAGGAAGGAAAAGGCAAAAAAAATTCTGAAAGAGTTGTAGGTGAGAGGAACATGTTATTAAACTCCACCATCAAGCTGAACTCGTTGGAAGGTTCCAAATATAGGATGGATGTAACAGGTGCTGCCTCACATGGACCAATAGGTCTACGGTAGCTTCCTTTATTCTCAAGGTCTTATGTCCTAATTCAATATTAAGAGGTGATTTAATTTTGAAGTTGGATAAATAGGTGAATGCAGGCAGTTATTCCTGGTAAGTGAAATGTGAGAAATGAAGGAGGTGAACGATGATAAAGTTATACTAAAGTGAGGTTGTACAGTATGGGTTCAGGATGACGAAAGATCAAGTGTTTCAAATAGGGTGAAAAGAGAAGGAGGATGCATTAAATAGTATTGACAAACCGAAGACGAAAATATCAGTAGAAGAAAGAAAAGGATGAAATAAATAATTTGACGGGGAGTGGACACATTAGCTTGTCATGTGTTACAGTGTAAAGACCATATGAGGAGTGAATGTGGACCATGTGACACAATGCGTGTGGACAACGTGACAATGCGTGTAGGCCTCGTGACATAGTGAGAGTAGCCTTGAGACACAGTGAATGTGGACGATGAGTCACGGCCACTACTGATAACTCTATTCTCAGCAGCGCCCCAACTCCTAGGCCTATTAATTAGACTTATTCTGAAATAACAGCTTTGGTTACAACAAGAATCATGTAGACAATACGCGTTACCTCCAGCTGACAGTCGAGAATAAAATTTAATACATCACCATTCTATGAAGCTACGCCTAAAAACTTTTCGTTAAATTGTACAAATTAAACAGGATATCAAAGAAATACTGACTTAAACAATTAACACACCTGATCCCTGATGGAAAAAATAATTCAATATACAGTATAATATGAGCAATGGATGGAATAAGGTTACATACACTGTATTGATGTCTCTATGCATTGGTACCCCGGAGACGAGAGAGGACATAAACAAAACGACATCTTTGCATTTAGATTATTCATAACTGAAAACTTCTTTAGATAGTTACATAATATTGCATGATTACAAAATATTAGAAGATATATAGAAACAATATAATTCATATACAATGCAAAAAAAAGTAAACTAATTATGACGAAGGAATACAGATTTCGTATTAATTTAACAGAAGATCGCTCTCATAACGGTGACTGATACAAGATAATATATAACGTACATACAATGAAAATACCTAGGGATATGTAACATGTGTGTCACAATAAGTGTGGTTCATGTGACACAATGAGTGTGGTTCATGTGTCACAATAAGTGTGGTTCATGTGACACAATGGGTGTGGTTCATGTGACACAATGAGTGTGGTTCATGTGTCACAATAAGTGTGGTTCATGTGACACAATGGGTGTGGTTCATGTGACACAATGAGTGTGGACCATGTGACACAATGAGTATGGACCATGTGACACAATAAGTGTGGACCATGTGGAACAATGAGTGTGGACCATGTGACACAGTGAGTGTGGATCATGTGACATAATAAGTGTGGGTCAAGTGACACATTGGGTGTAGATCATGTGAGTGTTGAGCCATGTGATACAGTGAAGGTGGACCATGTGACACAGTGAGTGTGGGTTCATGTGACATAATAAGTGTGGGTCAAGTGACACATTGAGTGTAGATCATGTGAGTGTTGAGCCATGTGACACAGTGAGTGTGGACCATGTGACACAGTGAGTGTGGACCATGTGACACAGTGAGTGCAGACCATGTGACACAGTGAGTGTGGGCGATGTGACACAGTGTGGACACGGGAGTTGTGCCAGTTGTACCTGACTTGTGGAAACAGGCCAATGTAGTACCCATATTAAAAAGGGGAGACAGCGCATCAGCGTCAAATTACCGGCCGATTAGTTTGACGTCAGCAGTGGGGAAATTTCTTGAATCAATTATAGCAGATAGCATCCGATCGCATTTAGAGAAAAGCAAATTAATCTACGACTCTCAATATGGGTTTACAAAGGGAAAATCTTGTCAAACAAATCTAATGACGTTTTTTAGGAAAGTCCTCGAGGTAGTAGATAATGACGAAAATTGCGATGTTATTTACTTAGACTTTAGCAAAGCACTTGACAGAGTAACCAGTTAGTTCTAGGGTCCGTACTGGGCCGACTTTTGTTCATAATCTACATAAACGATCTAGATACTGGGATCAGCAATGACATAAGAGTTTCGGATGACACCAAAATAGGGCGGCAGATTAATTCAGGCAGGATGCAAATGCACTACAATGAGGATTTAAATAAACTGCAGGAGTGGTCAGAAAAATGGCAAATGAAATTCAACACCAGCAAGTGCAGCGTACTTAATATTGGAAGAACAAATACTGTCAATGTATACAGCCTTAACAACATCAACCCAGAGAAGTCGACTTGTTAAAGAGACTAGGGTATTGTAAGCTCGGACCTACGGCCCAGAAAACAGTGCGTTAATGTTCGAAATAAGGCAAACAGAGTATTGGTTTACATCTAGAAGTGTAAGTAATAGAATGCAGAGGTCTTATTGCAACCATATCTTGCACTAGTCAGGCCGCACCTCGATTATGCTGGTCAGTTCTGGTGCCCTATTATAGAATGGATATCAATTCACTGGAGTCAGGTGCAACGAAGAATGACGATGATTCCGGGACAAAACATTCCATATCAAGATAGGTTAAAGAAACTAAACTTGCATTCCCTAGAAAGACGAAGAGTGCGGGGAAATATGATAGAAGTATTTAAGTGGATGAAAGGAATCAATAAAGGAGATATAGATAAAGTTCTTATAATATCGAGCAGGATGGACTCGTAGCAATGGATTTAAGTTGGATAAGTTTAGGTTTAGGAGGAGATAGGAAGGAACTGGTTCGCAAATAGGGTGGTGGACGAGTGGAACAAGCTTAGCAACTTTGTAGTAAGTGCTGGAACGCTGAAAAGTTTTAAAAGGAGGCTTGATAGATTCATGGATGATAGAGAGTGGTAGTAACTCTCGACAGGGCGCCATGCATAGGCCAACCGGCCCTATGCAGACTCCTTATTTTCTTATTTTCTTATGTCCTTAAATGAAGAGTGAGTGTGTCCCATGTGACATAGTGAGTGTGGGTCATGTAATAGAGAGTGTGGGCCATGTGACATAATCAGTGTGGGTCATGTGACATAATCAGTGTGGGTCATGTGAGATAGTGAGTGTGGACCATGTGACACAGCAAGAGTGGATCCCGTGACACAGTGAGTGTGGACCATATGACAGAGCGTGTATGGACCGTATGGTATACAGCAGGGTGGCCAACCTTTTGTGTGATGTGATCTACTTTTTCCAGTTACCCTGACGCGATCTACCAGCCTAATGTTCACCCATTGCTATAAAATATTCCTGAATATCGAGTCGACTTTTTCATTACCAAATTCATTAATACAAGGTTTAACGTGTATTTGTAAACTTATAAAAGCAATTACCTGCCTTGTTTTAGCTTACAACTGATGACAACTTGCTGATCAGTTTCCTCACCAGGAACCAGCCAGCACCAGCCCGTATGAACGCGAACTTCTATCAGTTCACACCAGCATGGCACAGATCAAAGTTTTTATCGCTCTGATGTGTCCATAATGATAATCTATTCCCAGAAAATAATCTAAACAAATATAATATCCCAATGATTATGAGTAAAATTTGAAGAGGATTTTTGTATGGCAGCTTAAGAAGGATGGACCATTAAGTTCAACTTTGCCATGTGATCGACTAGAGAAGATCTTGTGATCGACAGGTTGGCCACCCCTGGTATAGAGAGTGTGAACCATGTAAAGAGTAAGCATGGACGATGCGACACAGTGTGGACCATGTAACACAGACAGTGTGGACCATATGAAGAGTGAGTGTGGCCATGTAACATAGTGAGTGTGGACCATGTGACGCAGTGTGTGGGCATGTGACACAGTGTGGACCATATGAAGATTGAGTATGGCCCATGTGACACTGTGAGTATCGGCCATGTGACACAGTGAGCGTGGACCATGTGACTCGGTGTGTGTGTGTGTGTGGTTCATGTGACACAGTGAATGTGGGCCATGTAACACAGTGGGTGTGGGCCATGTGACACAGTGAATGTGGACTAACCGACACAATGAGTGTGGATCATGTGATTGTGGACCATGTGATAGTTTGGGTAGGTCATGTAACACAGTGAGTGTGGACTATGTGACGTAGTGTGTGTGGGCCATGCGACACAGTGTGGAACATTTTACACAAAGTGTGGACCATGTGAAGAGTGAGTGTGGCTCATGTGACACTGTGAGTATGGACCATGTGGCACAGTGTGTGTGGTTCATGGGACACAGTGAGTGTGGGCTATGTGTCCAGTGAATGCGGGCCATGTGACACAGTGTGTGTGGACCATGCGACACAGTGTGTGTGGTTCATGGGACACAGTGAGTGTGGGCTATGTGTCCAGTGAATGTGGGCCATGTGACACAGTGAATTTGGACCATACGACAGAGTGAGTGTGGGTCATGTGACACAATGATTGTGGACCATGTGACGCAGTGTGTGTGGTTCATGTGACACAGTGAGTGTGGACTATGTGACACAGTGAGGTGGGCCATGTGACACAGTGAGTGTGGGCCATGTGACACAATGAGTGTACAATGAGTGTGGACCATTTGACACAAAGAGTATGGATCATGTGACGCAGTGAGTGTGGAACCTGTATCACACTAAGTGTGGACCATGTGACACAATAAGTGTGGACTATATGAATAGTAAGTGTGGCTCATGTGACACAGTGAATGTGGGCCATATGACAAAGTGAGTGTGGGTCATGTGACACAGTGCATGTGGACCAAGTGACAAAGTGAGTGTGGGCCATATGACACAATGAGTATGGACCATGTGACACAGTGCGTGTGGGCCATGTGATAGAGTGAATGTGGGTCATGTGACGCAGTGAGTGTGAATATGACACAGCAAGTGTGGGCCATGTGACACAGTGAGTGTGGGCCATATGCCAAGTGAGTGTGGGTCATGTGACACAGTGAGTGTGGGCTATGACAAAGTGATTGTGGGTCATGTGACACAGTGCATGTGGACCATGTGACAAAGTGAGTGTGGTCCATATGACACAATGAGTATGGACCATGTGACACAGTGCGTGTGGGCCATGTGATACAGTGAATGCGGGCCATGTGACGCAGTGAGTGTGGACCATGTGACAGAGCAGTGTGGGCCATGTGACACAGTGAGTGTGGGCCAGACACAATGTGGACCATGTGGCACAGTGAGTGTGGGCCATGTGACACAGTGAGAGTGTGGATCATGTGACATAGTGAGTGTGGGCCAAGTGACACATCGTGGACCATGTGGTACAGTGAGCGTGGACCATGTGACATAAAGTGTTGACCATGTGACACAGTGAGTGTGAACATGTAATACAGGTAGTGTGTGCCATGTGAAACAGAGAGTGAGGACCATGTGACACAGTGAGTGTAGACCATGTGATGCAGTGAGTGTAGAGTATGTGACACAGTGAGTGTGGACCATGTGACACAGTGAGAGTAGACCATGTGGCACAGTGAGTGAGTTCCCTGTGACACAGTGAGTGTGAAGTGACACAATGATTGTGGACCATGTGACACAGTGAGTGTGTGCCATGTGAATCAGAGAGTGTGGACCCTGTGACACAGTGAGTGTGGACCAATTGACACAGTGGGTGTGGACCATGTGACACAGTGAGTATGAGCCATGTGACAGAGAGAGTGTGGACCATGTGACACAGTAAGAGTAAACCATGTGACACAGTTAGTGTGGACGCTGTGACACAGTGAGTATGAGCCATGTGACAGAGAGAGTGTGGACCATGTGACACAGTAAGAGTAAACCATGTGACACAGTGAGTGTGAACCATGTGACACAGTGAGTATGATCCATGTGACAGAGAGAGTGTGGACCATGTGACACAGTAAGAGTAAACCATGTGACACAGTTGGTGGACGCTGTGACACAGTGAGTGGGGAACATGTAACACAGCGTGTGGACCATGTGACAAGGTGTGGACCATGTGACACAGTGAGTGTGGACCATGTAACACAGTGAGTGTGGGCCGTTGACACAGTGAGTGTGGGCCATGCGACACAGTGTGGGCCATGTGACACAGTGAGTGTGGATCATGTGACATAGTGAGTGTGGGCCAAGTGACACATCGTGGACCATGTGGTACAGTGAGCGTGGACCATGTGATATAAAGTGTTGGCCATGTGACACAGTGAGTGTGAACATGTAATACAGGTAGTGTGTGCCATGTGAAACAGAGAGTAGGGACCATGTGACACAGTGAATGTGGATCATGTGACGCAGTGAGTGTGAACATGTGACACAGTGAGTGTGGACCATGTGATACAGTGAGTGTAGAGTATGTGACACAGTGAGTGTGGACCATGTGACACAGTGAGAGTAGACCATGTGGCACAGTGAGTGAGTTCCCTGTGACACAGTGAGTGTGAAGTGACACAGTGATTGTGGACCATGTGACACAGTGAGTGTGTGCCATGTGAATCATAGTGTGGACCCTGTGACACAGTGAGTGTGGACCAATTGACACAGTGGGTGTGGACCATGTGACACAGTGAATGTGAACATGTGACACAGTGAGTGTGAACCATGTGACACAGTGAGTATGAGCCATGTGACAGAGAGAGTGTGGACCATGTGACACAGTAAGAGTAAACCATGTGACACAGTTAGTGTGGACGCTGTGACACAGTGAGTGGGAACATGTAACACAGAGTGTGGACCATGTGACAAAGGAGTGTGGACCATGTGACACAGTGAGTGTGGACCATGTAACACAGTGAGTGTGGGCCATGTGACACAGTGAGATATGTGCCATGTGACACAGTGTGGGCCATGTGACACAGTCAGTGTGGACCATCTGACACAGTGAGTGTGGACCATGTGACACTGAGTGTGGTTCATATGATACAGCGAGTGTTGGCCATGTGACACCGTGAGTGTGGGCCATGTGACACAGTGAGTATGTGCCATGTGATACAGTGAGTGTGTGCCATGTGACACAAAGTGTGTGGGCCATGTGACACAGTGTATGTGAACCATATGACGCAGTGAGTGTGGACCATGTGACACAGAGCGAGCACTGTGACACATTGTGTGGACCATGTGACACAGTGAGTGTGGGCCCTGTGACACAGTGAGTGTGGACCATGTCACACAGAGTGGGCACTGTGACACAGTGAGTGTGGACCATGTGACACAGTGTGTGGGCCCTCTGACACAGTGAGGTGTGGGCCATGTGACACAGTGAGTGTAGGCCATACGACACAGTGAGTGTGGACCATGTCACACAGAGTGGGCACTGTGACACAGTGAGTGTGGACCATGTGACACAGTGAGTGTGGGCTGTGACACAGTGAGTGTGGACCATGTCACACAGAGTGGGCACTGTGACACAGTGAGTGTGGATGTGACACAGTGTGTGGGCCCTCTGACACAGTGAGTGTAGGCCATGTGACACAGTGGTGTGGGCCATACGACACAGTGAGTGTGGACCATGTGGAGATTAAGTGTGGATCATGTGACCTAGTGAGTGTGGGCCATATGACGCAGTGAGCGTGGGCCATGTGACACAGAAAGTGTGGACAATGTGACACAGTGAGTGTGGGCCCTGTGACACAGTGAGTGTGGATCGTGTGACATAGTGAGTGTGGACCATTTGACACAATGAGTGTTGGCCATGTGACACAGTGAGTGTAGAACATGTGACATGGTGAGTGTGGACCATGTGACACAGTGAGTGTGTACCATATGACACAGTGAGTGTGTACCATGTGATACAGTGAGTGTGTGCCATGTGACACAGTGAGTGTGGGCCGTGTGACACAATGAGTGTGTGCCTTGTGACATAGTGAGTGTGTGCCATGTAACACAGTGAGTGTGGACTATGTGACACAGTGAGTGTGGACGCTGTGACACAGTGGGTGTGGACCATGTAACACAGTGCGTGTGGACCATGTTTATAAAATATTAATATCTGTAATAGTTAATAATATATATTAAGACAATAACTATACCTATGCACATGAGTAGCTTTCATTATGAAGTTTTATACAAATCAGTGTAGCATCATCAATTATCATATTAGTATTTATCAATGTCAATATTCATTAACATCAGTTTTATATTATTAATTATCATTATGAAGCGATATTAATAGAATTCAATAAAAGATGAAACAAATTATCAATATACATCAACACCTATACTGAGTTATCAGTAAAATATCAATTACTATTGATCAACATCAATATTAGTGAGATACATGTACAGTAAATATTATAGTTACATTTATATACGCCAAAAAGAATTATTAAGGGTAATAGGCGGTCATATCTATAACTGAAATACACACACACACACACACACACACCATATCTTGATAAATCACGAAAATACAACGAACCCCAGCAAAGGTGCTCCATTCATTCCATACAATATATAAAATATATTATACATTTATATGTGGAATAACATGATATATATATATATAAATATATATATATATATATATATATATATATATATATATGTTAAGAACAATACTGCATAAAATATCAAAAGAATATTTTTATTTTTCAATCAAAATGTCAAAAAAATATATTAAATCATTAATGATTACAACTGATATCAATGATACTAATGGTTAATAAGTATCGATAAAATGTCTATTGATTTCTAACAATAAACAGTCTGGAGAAATGTGTCTGTATCAAAACATGTTTGTAAGATTATCAGTAAAACGCGAGGAAGTGTCACTCACCGTTTAGTATATGCACCAAGACCTTGGCTAAGGAGGCGCTGCTAGGATTGCAGCTGTAGATGCCGGAGTCCTTCAGCGAGGCTCCTCTCACCAGCAGGTTAGAAGTAGTGCGGGAACCTTTTTCTGTCACCACGCTCACCCCGCCTCGTTCACTGTCATATGTGATCACCTGCGCAAACATACAACTAACGTCAGCACCAACTACTCATGTGTGGAATTTAAGATTACACAAACGCCTTAACTCATGCTTATTGTATTTGTGAATGCGTTTTCTGGAAACTGAAGCCTTGGTTGGGGATGTGCAGATACGACACACAATACACTAAGCCTGTACAAAAGGAGGCACCTTCACTTCCCTCAACCACAAAGTAAGGTAATCATTCTTAGACTGGTTGACAAGGGGGAGTTCTGAGTGTTAAAAGCGACCCTAAGAGAGGGACACGAGGGTGCAATGTACTCGCTCACCACACCTCTCCTATTGTTATATCTTAATGCAAAAACACAGACAATTGTCGCTGTGCGTTGGTACAGACATGCGAGTAGTGGTTGTTGTTGGATGTGTG